TTTTAGCACAGTCTAATGAAAGTTTTAACAACTGGAGTTCTTGTTTGAATACAGACCATAATGGTTTAGACTTGCCATATCTGCATTTATGTATATAGAATTTCAATATTATGATAATGTTAATGTTATTCAGTCTTTTTTATTTTCAGATACATAGCCATATAATATATTCTGAACGGAGAAGGAGTCTATGTTCATAGATTTGATGGTCAGGAGATCGTGAAGGGATTTCCATAACGTGTTCACAGAATGACAGAAATAAAATAAATGTTCTGTTGTTTCAGGTTCGTTACATATATAACAGTTATCACATTCACATTTAAATCTATTTCTGATAAACTCGTTAGAAGGATAAATATTATTTAGAGTTTTGAAATGTAATTCTTTATATTTAGATGGAAGAGGGAAACCCAGATATGTTGTCAGTATTTTTATTCTTTCCTTCTTATCATAGAAATTGTGAAACTTTCTTCTTACCTGACCAGGATATATTGTTTATATTAAATGTTGTCTTAAAAATTTGTTGTTGCATTTATTGTGTGTTAAATTGAGATTGATGCTCGGTAAACTAATAGTTGGTTTAGTTTCATAATTATTCTTTATTAACTTAACAAATGCAATTGGTATATTTTTTGTTACTTTATCAGTCTTTTTTGGTACAGATTAGATTATATTTTTTTGTGAATTCTTCATAGTCATATAAATTTCCCTTTTCATCCATGAGATGAGTGAGTGACCATATTTGTTTCTCCATCCATGTTTCCAGACCTGCAGGTGAAGCTACAAGTCACAATTGTTTTCGTGTTTTTTACAATTCATACCGTTGAAACGTCTGTTTATTTACCCTTAAATGGTGCTACTTCTGTTAGGAAAGCAGCAAAGCTCAGTATGTGGATTTTGCCCATGTAAGACTTGCAAATCTACTCTGTCAATCCAAAACTGCGTCTTTTTTTTTCATTCATTCAACCTTTATTTATACATTCCCATTGAGCCCCAGGGACTCATTTACACTCATTTACAACCTGATTTCTTTAACAAAGCGTGGATGACAACGACAACAAAAGACAGTCACAAAAGAGAGATACAAATGTATTTATTTATTTTATACAGATCAAAACAAAATAGCAACCAAAAGGACAGTCAAAAGGAAAAGTAGCGAAAACAAACAAACAAAAAAAACCAAAAAAACAGCTAGATTATAAATCAGTGTAGAACACTAAAGACAGGAACATGTCTGCATTACTTAAGAGATGTTTAATGTCACTTAGAGAGGTCAAGGTCAAGAGTTTCAGATCTTTTTGCAAGATATTCCAGGAAACAGGAGCGGAGTAGGAGAAGGCCCTTTTGCCTACCTCAGTCCGCACTGAGGGAACACTGCAGGTAATAATATCCTGGGAGTGCACGCTGTAGCTGCACTCACGCAGTGACATGTAGGA